GGAAGAATTTTCAGTTTAAAGTAAAAAAGTCGACGCCGGAGCTATATATACTGCGGTGCTTTCATGTTGATTGCACGTGGAGACTTCGAGCTACCAAGCTAAAGGAATGCACTTTGTTCAAGATAAAAAAAATATTCTGCTGCCCATACGTGCTATGATGAGGCTTTAAAACATGATCATAGGCAACCCAAAAGTTGGGTGGTAGGACATCTTGTGCAGGAGAAGTTCACAAACATCTCCCGCACGTATAGACCGAAGGACATTATACAAGACATGAGGAAGGGGTATGGTGTCAATTTAAGTTATGATAGAGCATGACGTTCTGGTGAAGAAGCACTCCGGCTTATTAGAGGTGATCCGGCATCGTCATATGGTCTACTTCCAGCTTATGGTGAAGCTTTGAAAATCATGAACCCATGTACTATTTTCGAATTAGAACTAGAAGGTGGCAAATATTTCATCACGGACCGAACCGGACCGGGACAAGTCCGAGATGAAAGGCAGTCCCGGAACCTCGAAGGCTTCAATCTTGGATGCAATCAGTATTCAATCCCGGACCTCAGTGGTCCGGGATTGAATACGAGATAGAATTCGAGATTGAAGCAATCTCTGGATTTTTTATTCTCCTATAATCACAACGTCAAACTAAACCTTGCAGCCTCCGAGATGAATCCGACGCTTACAGATGAGTGCAAAAGAATGATCTTCAGAAAAAATGGATGAGTGCAAAATGGATTCTCCGAGATGGGGGTTTAGGGTTTTACTTAGGATGGGAGTGCCACGAAACGTTGAGATGAAGGATGGGGAGGGAGGGGATGAATTTTTTTAAAACAGGGGTACAATGGTAATTTCATTATGTCATATTTTGAGAGGGGTCATAATTAATAGAATATGGGGTCACAAATTAGGTTTTTTGAAAATGAGGTCATTTATCCAGTTTCAATTATTAAATGGGTCACAAATTCAAATTTCCCAAGATTTGAACCTCCAACCTTTTTGTTTTGTTTATTTTTTTAGCACACCAAATATAGGGTATTGAAGATGTGAAGCTCCAACCTCGAGAGAATGAATATATATTCTTGGGTACTTAATTGTTCTCTCTTTTGTATCAACTTCATTGACGGTGTGCTGTATTTTAATTTCCTGCTCTTTGTTCCTTGAAGACACCATGTATATTTTGTTGTTGTTTGGTTGATGTGAATGGAATGAATGGATCGTCATAATGTATCAGGTAAATCACGTTGATCGAACCAACTATAAATTAGTGTGTCGTTTATTCTATCTACCTCATTTATTTTGTTAAACTATGTTCATGTCGTAAACTTTCCAAACTTTTTAGTAAATGATATGTACTGTCTTACCCAGTTTGTCCAAGTACTTCAAAACCCTTAAATGTAGGAATTTATTGATGGTCACAATTATATTAAACGGCCAATTGACCCTATAATTATGAAAAGTTCCTCAAACTGAGGAAAAAAGTTCCGGAAAAAGTTCCTCAGATTTTAAATGCTTCTTGATCAGTTGGCCAATAGGCCATGAATAACATAGGCCCCATACATACCATTGCCAAATTTTCTAAGAAAGGAGAAGTTTTCAATTCTAATCCAATGCAACTAAGGGCAAACTTGAACTCGAAAAAACTGACCTAACTGAAACGAATTGATTCGATTGATCTGGATTAATTCCAGTTTGGTTGTTTCAATCGATCCAATTGTTCAGCTTCGAACAATCAATTTGTATTTTTCAAAATGTCGATTTCTCTGTCGACTTCCAATTTTTCAACATCAACGAGTCGAAGCGAGTCAAAACCTTGGGCACCCAGAAAAAATATCAGGAATAGAGAATTGTAGGCACATAAAAAAAAATTGAAAACTTGAGGAACAAAATAAGTTGGAAGTTTGTAATAAGAATACAATTTAAGGCAAAAGGAGTTGAACAACTACTCACATTCACACAACCTCTCTTTCTAATGTGGAAGTGTTTTTAAAATATGCATAACTGTGCAAGTGAAGCAAAGCCCAAGTCAATATATAAACACAAAGTAGAGTCAGTCTGCCACTTCTTTTGGTGGCTGCAAAAGAAGAGCATATCATCTAAAAACTTAGTCAATTTACACATCACAATAAATCCAACATTGATAACCTTTCTTTTTTTTTCTTTTCTTTTTTTTTTTT